CCTCCTCCTCCTCCTCCTCCTTCCTCCTCCGCCTCCTCCTCCCTCCTACTCCTCCTCCTCCTCCTCCTCCTCCTCCTCCTCCTCCTCCTCCTCCTCCTATCGCATTCCTGCTCATCCCGCCTCTTCCCTACTTGCCCTCTGCATCCTCCCCATTGCTCCCAGGGCTCGTGCTGGCCGCCGGCGGACCCTCTTTCCCTCGACAGCCCTCCTCGGAGGTGGGCCGCACTGATGGGCCTCCCGACGCGAACTCCACCAGGCTCGCCTTCGAGCGATTGCCTGTGCACGTTTCGGGGCGGACGACGCCGCCGACGCCGCCGACGCCGCCGACGCCGACGACAACGACGACGCCGCCGACGCCGCCGACGACGACGACGGGGACGATCGAACTCTGCAGCTCGCCAGCCGCCGGCGGCGCGCACCAGGGGGTCGGTCGGCGCGGAGGGGGGGGCGCCGGGCCCTGCCCACGGAGCAGGCAGGGCTCCCGCGCAGGCAGAGGGGGGGGCCTTCTTGGGAGCCCTCCCGGCTTCCAGGAAGGCTTCGGGCATAGTGTTAAGTTGGGCCTGTCCCCCTACATGGGGATTTTGGGCAAAAAATACAAACAAAAAAAGGAGAGAAAACAAAACAAAAAAACAAAAACAAAACAAACAAAACTCCCAAAATGCTGAAAACTGGCCAAAAAATAGTCCACATACTATTTTTGGACTGTTTTTGAATCCCCCTCCTGTAGAGGAACAGGCCCGACTTAAGCATAGTGAATGTTCGTTTTCGGCGTTTCGACGTTGGGCGGAAAGGGGGAGGGGGGCTCCCCCCCCACCTCCGGAAGGGACTGCTTGCAGCAGCGCGCCCTGCGCAGCCAAGATCCACTCCATTGGCGGGGGGGCGGGAGGGGCGGGGGGGGGGGCGAGGGCCCGCGCCGATCGGCAAGACACTACATAAAACGAGATCACATAGCAAAGTTAAGCTATGTGGCACCCTCGGGGGGCCCTCGTCTGTCCCGTCGCGGCCCCAGCCGCGTCGGATCCGCGCCGCATCCGCGCCGCATCCGCGTCGACTCCGCGCGGGAGCCCGCGCCGAGCCCGCGCGGACAGCCCGCGGCGAGCCCGCGTCGGGCGCCGGGGGGAAGGCGCCAAAGCGCTGGGGGCCTGGCGGGGTCCCTCGGGTCGGGCGAAAGGGGGGGATAGCAAAGGGGGGGGTTGAGAATCAGCTCACGTAGCTTTTTCCCGGCGCCTCCCGGCGCCGGAGGCGGCTATGTATCGAGGAATGGGCCCTCGGTGAGGCCGAAACCAGCTGCAGCTGCATGCAGCAAATTTCGTAACCCCCCCTTTCCCAATCCCCCCCTTTCGCCCGACCCGAGAGGAGGGGCGGCCCGGGGGAGGGGGGGGGAGGGAGGAGGGGCGCGCGCAGCATGGTCCGGGACACGCGCGCGGGCGGGCTCAGGGGCCAGGCGACGAGCTGCCAGGAGCAGAAGAGGAGGGGGGGGGACGACATCTCCAGGGGGGCCAAGAATATGACATGGACGCAGAAACTCGGAGGTCCGCGCGGACTGCTCGGATTGACGGGGCCCTTTTCTGGATTGTCGTCTTCCCCCCCCCCCCACCACTTCCCATAGTTTCCCATCCCATCTCTTCCTGGGGATCGACGATCAATTGTGTCTATGTGTTCTTTCCCTCCTGAATGACAAAATCATAAAACTCGGAGGTCCGCGCGGACTTCTCGGATCCGCGCTGGACCCCCTGGCGGCGCCTCCGGCGCCGCCCCTGGCGCGCTCCGCGCGCCAGTGAGGGGGGTCCAGCGCCGATCCGAGAAATCCGCGCGGACCTGAGTTTTTTTGTCTATGTCATTCTTCGTTCCCCTACATGTGAGCGACGATCAACCTCCGGGACTTCGCCTCCGGCTCCTGTCCAAGGCGTACCTTTTCCTGTGCAAGCTCTTCGGCACCGCCTGCACCCCGCACCCTCCGGCCGCCTGAGGCCCCGCCCGCCCGCGCCCTGGCTCCCCAATTGGTGCTTTGCGCGACCCGCCTAGCTCCTGACCGGAAGAGGCTCGGTCTCGACCCGCAGACCAAAAAGTAAGCGACGATCAAAAACGGGTCTTACGCGCGATGGCGCAGCGACCTTACGCCGCGGCGTACGCGGGCCACCAGAGCGGGTGCGCCGCTCCACGTGGAAGACGAGGGCGCTTGCGCGCGCCCCTCCGCGGGCAGCTCACGCACGAGCGTCGGCGAAGACGACCCCGTTTTTATTGCGCGTCGCTCGCCTGGGAGACATCATAGCCTCGGCCATTACATCGGCCTCCCATACAGTTAGGGGCTCGGCCACAAGAAACCTTCCACAAGAAACCCAACCCTGAGACCCCAGGACGTACACTGATTCTTGGTGTGGGAGCGTCACGCTCTCCATAGCAAAACCATCGAAACCCAAGAGACCCAAGAAACCCAGGGCACCCTGGAGGCAACCAAGGTGTTTCTTGGCATGGGTCTCCACTGTAGTCCTCACCCCCCTCTTGGACGCTCCCCCGCCAACGAGTCGGCTGCATGCAGCCGGTATCCCAGCACTGCTAGCATGACAAATATACTCGCTTCGTGGTGTTCGTGGCTGTATGGTCACGTACCGCTGATCCTGCGCGTACCCTTGTCATTACGCGCCTGCTTAATAATACCAGGCGTCGTGCCACTCGTCGCAGTATGTACAGTTACCGTGATAATCGTAGTGTCATTCGTGTCATCATGTTCGCAATCGTGGTACTAATTGTTTGGTGGGAGAAAAGATGAGGGGACGAAAGGCGGAAAGACATGCCACGACCGCGATCGAATGCAACGTGCTGGCGATTCAGATAGCCAGGCACGCCTCGGCGAGAGGGCGAGTGGAAACTCAATAGCAGGCGTCAGATGCCCCAGAATCCAGACCGCAGTGGGCCGTCGAATCGCAAGATGCAGACTTACAACGCCCCATGGACTCTGTGTGAAAACACGGGCCACAGCATGGAAACTAACGAGGAGAAGCGGCAGACATGAGACAATCAGCAGGCAGAGAACGGCAGAGAAAGATTGCGGGGCACTCCCGACCCTCAAAGGACCGAGGAACAAGCATCAAGCCCCCAAGGCATTGTACCACAGGACCGTCCCAGTGGGATGGCACAGGCAAGGCAAAAAGTTGCACTCCTCCTCCTCCTCCTCCTCCTCCTCCTCCTCCTCCCTCCCTCCCTCCCTCCCTCCCCCCCTCCCTCCCTCCCTCCCTCCCTCCCTCCTCCTCCTCCTCCTCCTCCTCCCTCCTCCTCCTCCTCCTCCTCCTCCTCCTCCTCCTCCTCCTCCTCCTCGCCCTCGTCCTCTGTGAATCAAAATCCGGCGACTGCTGACTCGAACGAGAGCTGCCGCGAGACGGGCACGAGCCAGCCCAACGGCCGCGGGAGCGCAGAGCGCGCGACGGCAGAGGCAGGCGGACGGGCCAGCTCGGGGCGAACCCGCGGTCAGCCAGCGGCGGCCCCCGCGTGCGCCGCGCGTCGCGGGCATCGGTGGGCCACCCAGGGACGAGGAGGAGAGGCGAGGGGGAAAAATCGACCGGCGGGCATCCCCCCGAAGTCGGGGCAGCACAGAAATATACCTCGGATGCACGGCACAGAAAGACTGGGACAGAGCCCCCGAAGCCGCCCAGACGCGAACGCCGCTGCGCACGCTGGACTGCGAGGGGCGCAGACGCCGAACGCTCTCAGCAGCCGCCTAGAAAGAGAACGGCAAGAGAAGCACGAGGAGGGAATACGATGACTCTCCCACCCTCCGCAGAGACGCCCCCCCCCGCTCCGCAATGTCGTCATCCACATACAGTACGGGCCTGACCACAAGAAACCTTCCACAAGAAACCCAACCCTGAGACCGCAGGACGTCCATCGATTTTTGGTGTGGGACCGTCACGCTTTCCATGGCAAAACCATCGAAACAAAAGATACCCAGGCACCCTGGAGGCAAGCAGGGTGTTTCTTGGCATGAGTCTCCACTGCATGCGCCGCGGCAAGCCATTTACCCACACACTTGCCCCACTCCAGGGTTTCACCCTTCTGGGAGGCGCGAGGGAGACACAGGCAAAGGAGGCGGAGAGCGAGCCACTCCCAGAAAGGCTAGCCGGCCCCGCGCCTCGGGGAGGCTAAGAACGGAAAGAACAAAACGCGGGGGAAGGACATTCCGAGCGGGGTCCGGACGTCCCGAGCCGAAGGGCCACGCCCGACCACTCACAGTCCAGCCGGCCTGCTCAAGTGGACACGTCGCCCACCCAGAGAGGCGGAAAAGGAGGCGGAGGAATAGGAACAGGAGGAGGAGAGAAGGAGGAGGAGGAGGAGGAGGAGGAGGAGGAGGACAAGGAGGAGGAGCAGGAAAAGGAGGATGAAGAGGAAGACGAGGAGGACAGGAGAAAAAGGGGGCAACGGTTCCCTCAGTTCGAGCGCCCTGCGGCTCCACCGCGGCAAGCTGCCCAGCCACCCTGGAACAACAAATCGGAACCGCGACATAAGAAGGAGGGAGGAGGCGGGAGGCGGAGAAGAGACCTCCACAGAATCGCACTTGGAAACGGCCTCGCCGCGCCTGGCCTCGCAGCGACTCGCGCACCCTCTGCCGCAGGGAGTTCATGCATGCCTCAGGGCTGCACGCCCCAGCGTGGCGCCGCAAGCACCGCGCGAGGCAGAGGCCGCACGTCAATCGCGCGCATCGCTGTAGTTCCTGAGCCGCGGCCGCGTCCCAAGGCGGCGCTCCAACAGCACGAACCGCGCGAATCTGCAATGCCGGATCACGGGGCGGGCCAACCCGACGTGCGCGGCAGCGGCGGCCGTGACCCATCGACACTCCGACCCATGTCCCACCGGATCTTCGCCAGCCGCGCACCCGAAGACACATGCGGCATGGCTTTGGAATCGGCGCATTGTGATGCACCCGTTCCGCGAGGTGCCCTGGCAAGTGCCCAGCGCCCTGCGGGCCACCTCTCCCGCGGTCATGCCGCACAGCCCGCCGCATCGCTGCGTGACCTTCCAGCGCAGGAACTTGCGCGGGCCCTCGGCGGCATTCATGCTTCAAGCACTGCGAGAGGCGCAAGCCGCCCCGCCAAGGCGCCCAGGCCGCCACCGCGCCTTTGCTGCCTCTAGACGCCCAGGTATAGTAGCGGCGCCCAACCTGTCAACTGCCCATGCTCAAGCCTGGCCCCGAACGCGCTGCGCAGGCGTCGATGCGCGGCTGCAGCGCGGCCGCCGCGGCTGCCCCCACCGCGCCACCACCGCGGCGTCGCCAGCGCAGGCGC